TCAGTAAACGATTCAGCCTTCTGAAGTCAGTACTCATCTCATGTTGGGAGCGGGACACTTTGTTCTTTCTTTCGTGACATATGTGTCAAAACAGCAACTCTCTATTGAGATTAAACCTACAAATCTTGTTTTAAGGGGCTTATTAAAATGCAGACTGAAGATGACGAAATAACGTTAATGCAGTTTTATTTTATCTTTCTATTTTCAGACTTGTGTAATTCTTTGTAGAAGAAGTATAGACAGGGAAATGTGTTTTTTTTTCTGCCTACATCGTGAGATCTGCTCACGCTCTGCATATCATTTTGTTGTCATGTGAAAGACTGACTGGTGAAAAACACTGTTCTGTCAGGCCCTACTGAACATCCCCCACAATGCCTCAGCAGACATATATTCCCACTGCTGTTCCCTTTAATGAAGAACACTTTGCCTACGTTCTCTCTCACTTTTTCACAACTTTTCAGTAGGGGTGCTCCGATCAAGGTTTTTGAGGCACATTTATCCATTATTTTGATTTTAAATCCAAACATTGTTACTTAAAATGCTTTTTCAACATTGTGATTCTTTTTTTACACAGTACAGTAATACAGTCTTTCACAGACATGTTTAAACACAATAAATATATAAGCAACACATTATTCACTGCTTTTTACTTTTGCATTTACTTCTAGTAACCTCTAGTAACATAACCTGACATTATGTGTGTGCACTGTGAGTGTGCATGAGCGCACTATCTCCAGAAGTGCGCGCGAGCGCTTAATGGTTAAACACTGGCAAGAATTAAAAAGGTGAGTACCTCACCTTCAGCATTATAATTATTTCACCCGCACCAGACAGAGACTGAGACGGTGCCGCTGCATGTCGTGCCAAACCTTGCATGGCAGCGTCATCAGCTTGAGATAGTTTTTTTTTAGATCGGCCTTTTTAGAGACCGCCGATCAAACATCCCAAAGCGATTATCGGCCGATAGTGATCGGTAGCCGATCAATCGGAGCACCCCTACTTTTCAGTGCATGTGCGGTGAGAAAAAACAGTAAAAAATTCTCTTTTAGACTAACGGCAGGTGTGCTAACAAGGCTGTCGGCACAATAGTGCAGGCATCTTTTTGTTCTAGTTCAGTGATGGTTAGAAAAAACTCTGCAGAACCCAAGACAGTTAGACAATTAGTATCACTTTAACAGGCCTGTAAATATACAAAAACAGTACAAAAACAAATTGAAATTGTGCATATTCTTTGTACACTTGAGAAATAAATGAATGAAAGAATGCATGAATGATTCATTGATTCATTGATAAAAATTCAGTCTGATCAGTTAACATCAGGACAGATGGGTATTAATTATGCCTGTAAGAATTTCTAGATGAGGATCTTTCCAGGAAATAAATGTAGAGTGTTTTGGAATTTAAATATTCAACCAATAACTTTACGCCACAGAATAAAATTGGCGTTTTATGCCTTATTTCGTCCCAAAGTTTATTCACAGGATGAATTCAGCAACATATTCCAAACAAACAAATAAATAAATATTCTCTTGTCAAATTGGTAAGAAAGTTATTTCCCTTAACCAGGAAATTAACGTTCTTAGAATTGACAGACAGTTGACCCTGAGAGGTCAAGTAAATATCTACAGCGGATCTAAATATTTATAATTAATTATAACTAGTTATGATTAATTATTCATATTTCCCCATGAGCTGATTCGCTACACAGTACAGCTAATTTTGCGTATCTAGCAGATGTTCTCCAGAGATTTAACCCGTTGAATCCTCAGGTTTGGCTTCTAGTTGATTGTAATCCTGGTTCAACAGGAAAAATTATTTCGCTTTGGTCTCTGGATGTTGAGAGCTACTATTACACTGACGTGTGCTGATTAAAGCTTTCTGACGACACAATGGGAGTCAACATCTGTAAAAATCAGATTCAAATTGTATTATGAATATTTACAGTAATAACCCATAATTATAGGAGATGCCTGTTTGTTCTGATTTCAGCAGGATAATATAGTGCTAGATGCATATAATAAAAATTAAACTAAACAAATAATAATGCATAGCTTGAATAACAAAATAAATAGACTTGTGAACTTTTTGTTTACGTCAGAACAGGGTTATTATATTTAACTAAAACTAAAATGAAACTAAAATCATAAAAACATTTTCGCTACTTAAAATAACATAAAATAAAATAAATATATAAATAAAAATAAAATAAATGCTAACTGTATTAAAATAAAATAAAATATTAAACGTTTTATTTCAGCTAGTTTCTAAGGCCACATTTTAAATCACAATTTAGTTTAATTTGATTTGATGTACTAAACCAACTAAAACTATAATTGAAATAAAAATAAAAACTAAAACAACAAAAAATAACAAAAAAAGCACAATAAAATTACTAAAACGTTAAAATGAAAATGAAAACAGAAAATATAAAAATAAAAACATTCAAAATATTTAATATAAAAATGAACAACAGAATAAAATAAACTGCGGGCTGCGTCCAGTCAAACTGTACTGCATTATTACGCATACAGAGCGATCACTAATGCATTTGCTGATGCTTGGAAGGATCCTATAAATGTGAACATACAGATGACACATAATAAGGCCACTTACAGTGAAAATGCTGCTTCCCCTGTAGTATCCATTGAATACAAACAGCTGCATCACAAGTAGGGCTGCTCGATTATGACAAAAATCATAATCACGATTATTTGGGTCAATATTGTAATCACGGTTATTTAACACAATTATTAGTGGGCCATATAACAAAAAAAATATATAAATATATGCAAATCTAAAGTATTCAGTTACCAACCTATAAAAATTGAATAATCAAATGTAAAATAAAACAGCATAGTCTTCACTGTAAGAATTAAATTTCCTTTGTTTCTTATTAAAGCTACAAAAGACCTTCTGTGAAGAGCAGTGAATGATTTTGTCTTTGTCTTTTGTTGTTTGATTAATATTAAGCACACAGCCAGCAGCAGGAATATAGCCTGCTGTCACTTTAAGAGCTGCACGGCTCCAATTAGTGAATAATCACTAAGCGCCACATTTTGTCACATTTTTGTGTGTATTTGACCGTTTAGTCGCATACGTTCAGCGAAAAGATGACTTCACATGTCCGTGTTCTGTTCCGTCTCTTGAGCGCAAGCCTACTGAGGAACAGCGCAAGTTCTCTTTCGTGCTTTTAAAAACATTAATAAATCTAATCAACTTTAATAACTCAAGCACGTCCCATTTTGCAAAAGTCACGTTACATGATTTTACTGATTTACACGTAAAAAATGGGCTTTTATGGAGGAGTGAAAGCGCACCGCTGGAAAGGGGGCGGAATGGGGCCCAATAATCGTTTTATCTCGATTATTGCATTTTCATAATCGTTGGAGAAATCGAAATCTAAACTGAATTTCGATTAATTGCACAGCCCTATTATTCCGTTCAACTGAATATCTTTAGGCATATTGAACACACCAATGTCATGTATCTGTGTTGACATTTCCCTAACAGTGTTTCCCTTTGAGGGAACGAAGCGTAGATGGACTGTGTTTTTATCCCGAATCCCAGGCTTGTTGATTAGATTGTCTGAGGCCAAATGAGTGTCGGATGACTTTCATTACAGTCATTAATCCATCAGTTGAGTTTCAAAGGCTCTGACATGTCTCAAATTAGGATGGACTGCAATACAACTCAGGCTTGATGTTCTGACTATTCATATTTGTAGGTGCTCCAAGCGATTCGTGAATACACGTGTGTATGAGCGTGTGTGTTTTATGAGCCGTGTCCCTTGAAGGCGATCTGCAAGTGACCAGCCACTCTGTCTTTTTATGGGAGTTTTATGGAGCCTCTCCCAGATGGTGGATAGATAGGTGTTAGATTGTGACTGCTATAATAGGCCACAGGACAAAGTGGTCCATCTCTGGCCTTGACACACTCTGGGGATTGAATCTCAAGAGTGTATATATATCAAGCCACCACTGGTTAATAAAATATTCCATCATATCTGTCAGCAGGAAAGCTTTTTGTGCTAGAGTCTGAAGTGCCCAAGGCTATCTACAGCAAAAAGTAATATACTACTGTAATATTATTACTTTTGTAATGCGTTACTCCCAACACTGGCTATCTGTGAAGCATGGGGACTGATGAAGTCACTGTTTCTTTAGATGTGATCATTTTAAATCATCAATTTACAGTGCTTACAGTAGCTTTATATCCTTTCCAATAAAGTGAACTGTGAAGTAAACAACCATTAACCACACATTTTCAGAAAGCTTTAAAAATAGATTATATAATATAGTGTTGTCAAAAGTACCGACCGCGATACCATTCGATACTGAAATTTTAAAAACGTCCATTTCCCGCTGTAATGTGTTACAGCTCTGTGAGTCTAGTCTGTTCATGCCACGTCGAGTCTGTTCATGCCAAGTCTGTTTCATGCCTCGTCAAGTTAAGTCAAGTCTGTTCATGTCAAGTCATGTCTCGGATTATTGTTTGGATGTTTGGATCACTCTGTAAATAAACTGCACTTGGGTTCTTCACTACACTCGCCTTCAGTGGATTGTTCGTTACACCCGCCAAGATTTGAGCACTGTTGAGCAGATTCTTAAACAGCGCTGATTGGTGAGTCTGTTTATGTTTGATGTTTGAAATGAAATAGAAAGCAATAATTGATCTTTTCAAATCTAATGCAAACATTTTTGCATTTTATTGCATTTTCTGATTGGCAGATATTATTAGTTATCGGCGTATATTTGTGCGTGCAAACACACTTATGATGAACAGATAGAAACAGGGTATGTTCATGAAGAAATGTGTGCTATTTAATGAGCAAATCCCACAATGCACAGCCTGTTTATGTTTTAATTAATGCGAGTGTGTTGGCACTGAGCAATGGGAAATCGCCCCCTCCTCAACCCCTTTATCCCCTCATGTTCTGCAGAACCCTAAACCTGCCCCGCAGGTGAGCATTGATGAAAGAAGCAAATGATTCATGAGCTCACCTGCCTGCCTCTCCCTCCGAGACCCGGCCAACTGCAGGCATTATCAGTAGTAAATGGGTCTGAAAACGCTTCGGCCAGGACAGGCCGTACACCGTGTGATTTATTGGCCATGATGCTGCAAATAGTTAGTCGTGTTACCAGAGGGATATAAGCATTTTCATGGCCACAGTTCAAGTTTATTTCAGACATAAATTCTGGGTGACGTGGAAAGGAAAAAAGCCACGGTAAATTTATGACAAGAGAGAATTTTGCAAGCAGCCAGCAGAAAGCGTTGTTTTAACAAACCAAGGACAAGGATGAACGACTGTTTTGTTCTCTTATCTTACATTTTGTCAGGAGCTTCGTTAAAGACGTTTTCCTTAAGCAGAAAAACAAGAACATTTGCTAGAGGACCTTAAAAATAACATGGGATGGAGCTAAGTTGAACTTTGAAGTGAAAATCAGAAGAGATAAGCTTTCTAGAAAAGAAATTGCATGCACCTACTGTTTTGATGGCGTTTAGTGCTTTTTGCAGCACAGTTGTTTCATGAACCATGGAGAACAATTAACATTTGAACGTGACACGCTGCAAGCATGTGAAGGGCAGAACAATGGCGAAGGAGCTTTAGTGGCAGTGATGAGCACGTTGTGAATGAAAACATCACTCCAGCTCTCTGGTCCTTCTCTTTGTCTCTCTATGCTTGTTAATGCTTAGAAACTGTGATCAGTGTACGTGATCGATCTCCTGCACAGCTGGCTGGACAGAATCACATTTCCCCTCCACTTTACAATATGTCTCAAGGGGCGGAAACCTTACATTAGACATGGACACGATGATCCTGTTTACTGGCCGACTGAGCCTTTGTATTAATTATTTACCTCACATTGCGGAACAAATCATATTATCAGATCGAAAACGCTCAGGATTGTGCTGTGTTTTCAGGAGAATCATTTCACACATCGACTTGTAACCACTGTTGCGTGTTTGTATTTGTATCCATGTTGACCTTGAAATATCTCTGTTTTTGAATTTGAATTCTTATAATGTTTATCTTTTGCATTTGCAGATAGTAGCCAATTTTCCATAGTTCTCTGGAATTTTTATATTAGAATTTATTTTATTTTTTTTTTGAAATTTCTATTTAGGATATTTTTTAAACTTAAAGCAACTTTCAGCCAGTTTCAGCTGTTTCCATGATCTGAGTCAGATCTGAGTCTTATGCAAAACTCTTTTTTAAATCTCTCACCACAGTTTTGAATAGGGGTCCGCGTCTGTGCCATTTACATACACAGAGACACGCAGAACATGCTGGATTCATATTTAAATAGTATTTTTGCGGCTTAATATTTACATATACTAGTCCATATTGCGACTCTATTTAAGTGTACTTACCTACTTTTGATTAATTCATCCAAATTTTGACAAATTCCGTGACATTCCGCATCATACAGTAAATGCCATTTATATGACTGGATTCCGCGATTCCGTCCACGTTTTCTGCATTGGTTTTGAAAATGACCGATACCGATAATCATAAAAATGCTTAATATCGGCCAGGCCGATAATCGGTCGACCCCTAGTTTTGAATTCTGATCTCTCTGTATCACAGTGTTACCAAGGGTTATCATTCACTGACCATACATACAAACACGGTGACCGTGATTTCACCAAGTACAACATGTTCCTGGATCAACATCCTTACAGGATAAATACTTAAAGGAACAGAGCATCTTCATTGTAGTCTTATAGGAAGTGTCACGTTTAGTACAGTTCCTTCAACTAGACTTACAGAAATTAAGTACTTTGTAGACTCAGTCCTGCACATGGTGGTTAAAGTTAAGTGCCTGTGTGCAAATGGATCCTTTTGGGCCATCTCTGTAAGTACTGTCTTTAGCTCAAAGTAATTTGTAGTGTGACACGATCATTGTCATCAGAGAAACACCACAGAGAGCCCCAATGAAGTGTAACTTCGATAAACTGCAGTTTCTCTTGGTCCTTGACAGTCTAAACTGCATCCTATATAGATTGAGAATAAACACATTTGCAGCACATGGATTTTGTTTTTGTTTTTTAGCTAATGAAACTGTTCCAATTTGAAATTAATTTCTTGCAGCCACAAAACACAAGCTCAGGCAATGCCAATGTCATGGGTTCGATCCCCAGGGAATGCATAAAATGATAAACATATACTTTGAATGCAGTGTAAATCATTTAGCATGAAAGCATCTGCCAAATGCATAAATATAACAGTAAGTGCATTTAAAAGTGCGTTTAAGTTTGTAGCAAAAGCAATGTGATTGGTTCAATTCCCAGGAAATGCATAAACTGATAAAAATATATACTTTGAATGCAATGTAAGTCACTTAGGATGAAACCATCTGCCAAATGCATAAATCTAAATCTAAGTGCATTTAAATGTGTTTAAGTTCCTAGGAATGGCAAGGTCGTAGGTTTGATTCCCACTTTCAGATGCATAACTAAAATTGTATGCACTATAAGTCAATTTGGATAAAAGCGCTGTCAAATGTGCAGATGTATAGCTATAAAGCTTTAGGTTGTTTGGCAAACTGTGAAACTATTGGTTTTGTTTCTTGGAAACCATTTTATTGTAAATAAAAGACGTCGATCATTTGACATTCCAATTGATTCTACATTTCCTGTTGCGTTTTTAGTCAGATGACACCCCATAGACTTTCATCAATTTTTGACTAATAAGAGACAGAATGATTTAATCACAAACTCATACAAGCAATATACTGTATGCCAAGCACCATTCTGTAGATACTTGTTGCTTGTTTTGCTGCTTCTGCTTTGCATAGACTATAATCCAATTTGTGTCTTCTCCCTGAGATTTACTGCCTAAATTCTATCAGCAAGCTTTCTGTTTTCATTCTTTATAAAAAGTAGTGATACTTGAGAAAAATGTAAGAGCATTCATAATAGATTGGCTGATGGCAACTTGGCAGGAAAGCCTTGACAAAATTGTGATCCTATTTCATTTCTGACCTGTTTAGTCACTGAGGAGAGAAGAGAGATGTCATATTTCATCTCTGATTGGACAGGCATGATTCTGAGTCACTTGTATAACATGACGCCCTCTGGCTCTCCACCAGAAAACATCAGTTGTACGCTGTCACCTCTGTAAAGATGTCATTATCTATTCACAGGTCATAATTTCAAGCATCCAGAGTGTTGATGTTAAGCCACGTCCTGTCAGGGTTTTAAGTGTCGTACCAATCACAGACGTGTTTTAGGATGAGTTTTTACTCCGTGCCCATGCGGGGAAGTGGCCTGCTGGGTCTGGCCCCACTCAGTTTCAATGCAATCTGCTACCACTGTGGGCGGTACGCCCGTACGCTGACGGAACTGATTCTGTTATCAAAAGGAGGCTCCGGTTTAGTGAGGCGAGTGGTTTTGCACTTTGCAGTGTTTCTCATTTAGGTCCTCTTGTCATGCATTATGTACTAAATGTTATACGGTCATGTAAATATTTAGTTTAGAAGTGCAACCAAACTTACAGCAAGGAGAAATACATGGGATTTGTTACCAAATGTATGTTGTACCATGTCAGTCCATGTGCTGCTGCCCCCCACTGGCTCATATCCTGAGTGACTCTGAGTGTGTGTAATCCTGTTACTCAATGTGCAGTACAACATGAGAGAAGAAAACGAGAGACAAGAAGAGAAGCGCCATAACAGCATAACATTCATGAGTTCATGCCTGAGCGCTTCAGTGATTTCTTGATTTCTTCAGCGAGTGCTTGGTTGTTTGAATCAGATGACAGGTTAAAAGAAACCCCTCAGGTGTTCATGTTAATTGACTCTTGCATTAACCCATGCCAGGATAATTTTTCATGGCAGCGCCATTAAACATATTATGCCTTTTAACACACATTTTCTTTCTTTTGGGGACCGGAAACGGCATTGAAACAAGTAAAATGTTAAGTTGTGTGAATATATAGTATGTTTCTCTAGTTTTGCTGTCATTTAAATTATTTAATTGGCTATACTGCTTTTTGTGAGTTTGTGTGGAGTAAAACTTGCCTGCAAGTCATTGTGATAAAAGTCAGCTGAGGGTCTTTTTGGATATACAGTATAGCGGGACCTAGTAATTAGGGCTGAACGATTTTGGAAAATAATCTAATTGCGATTTTTTTTTACCAATATTGGGTGGCGTGTCATGTGACCGAGTGTAATCGCAGTCTCTGCGATTGAAAAATCGTGTTTTTTCATATCGCGATAATATCGCAAATGCAATTAATCGTTCAGCCCTACTAGTAATGTCAAAGATTTCTTGACTCAATCAATTCAATATCAGATTCCCAAGCTCTAAATTTGATTTGATTCTCAATGGGATTCAGTATTGATATATGTGGACAAATATCAGGTACAGTACATGTACATTTTTCTTAAAGAAAAAATTTCTCTAAACTAATGCTGTTACACAGGGAACACTCTCACTTGATACATTATTATCATTTTAAAGGTTAAAATTAATAAACTATTTAAAGTCCAAACTATGAAATTCAATTGCTGTTTATTTTTACATATAATAATCAAAACTCAAATGTTTACACACATTTAAATTTCACATAAGGCAGTTTTTATGTCCCTTTTTTCATGATATAATTATATTTTATATGTCAATTTGCTGTTGAAATTATTAAATGGTGGTTGTCATAAAAAAACACCACTATCACTCATAATATAATGAATATGAAATATAGCGCATATATTAAGCAAAGTAATCATCTCTAGAGTTGGCAGCTAACAAGAATGGCTTTCCTGAGGTTCACAAGCTGTTTTATTGACGTCTCTCTGGGTTGAAACACTGATTGAGTGATTACATGAGACATGATACATTTCAAAAAGTTACTGTTTCTTTCAACATACCTGCCAATGTTCATTCATGTTAATTTTGTGCTAGAAGCAAAGAGGAAGAGATTAATCTTTTATTCATAAAACTAGTATCTGACAGCTAGTACCGATCCAGCAGTACTATAAAATAATTCATTACAAATCCTTATCCAAAATCAATGAAAGTCATGGAAAAGTCATGAAGATTCACTATGTGCGAAAAGGTGTTGATGTAAGACTTGGCTGGTCTTTATGACGTTTGTCTTTGAGATAGA